CAATAAGTGCTTATTGTTTGAAAGAAAATATAATCATCTGTTAATATTTGTACCATGTTTGGTACAAATACTGGGGACAAAGAGTTTTAGGTTTAGTTAACTCCAGAGTACCCTGAAAAGCTACCTGTTTCTATCCATGATTTGACTTTTCTCTATCACAATTCCTTAACTAGATTTATAAGTCTGATCATTTGTTTTGTACACATCTGAAACCAAATATTACAAATGCACAAGAGGGTTTGTACACACAAGTGCATTTGTAGATATATTTGGACATACACAAAGCATATAATATGTGTGTATACAATTACATAATATACATTATATAGCATATACGTTATAGTGTGTGGTATGTATATATGATATATTCATACATGCTACACTATATATTTATATATAATCTAAACTATATATCAACATTATATATATATATGTGTGTATATATATATATATATATATATATATATACCCTTGTATATATGTATACATATATATAGCCAGTTAGCTGCATACTCACTAAAATATCATTAATTAAGGGAAAAGAACAAAATTGAAAGTTTTGGAAGAGTTTAAAAGAAATAGGATTTAATCACTTTCAAATCCATTGGGACATAGCTGGGTAAAGCAATCGACCCCAAGTGGAAACCACTCATGTGCCTGCCTGAATGGATGGATGGATGGATGGATGGATGGATGGATGGATGGATGGACAGGAATGATGTTAGCCCATTACAGGTAGGGAAATGGGGACTCTGAAGCACTCTAGGGGACTAAGTAACTAGTTCTACTGAGGAACTTAATCCTCATGGCAAACTTGTTTGCTTGGCTGATTTGCTTGGTAAATGCTTTCTTTCCAGAACCAAAGTAAACTCCAGCTCAATATATCTTATGGCTATTAATTTCAATGTAATGGAGTCTCAATTTTCCTATGTATTTTCAAACTATTTCAGTGTTCGTATGTTTCAATTATGACTTTTTACCTCTGCCTTAGAGAGCTCACAGTTTTATTGGGGAGAATATTCCCAAATAGAGTTTCACTCCACAGAGGGGTTAAGTATAAAAAGATGCAAACGCCAGATAAACTCCAATGAGAGAATCTAATGAGGAAAGTCCTGGTGCCATGGAGACTATGGAAGAGATTTTTGGGATAGACAGGGCTTTCGGTCCTCATCCCCACCAGCGACCTGGGCACTGGGTTCCCCCAGGTGATCACCTTCCTCTGCCCCTTTCAATCTTGTCTTCCTTATGGGTTATAGAGCTAACTGGCCAAGTATTAAAGCATCCTCCAGATCGTGGACTCAATATTTCTTTCTGTGTCTTCTATGTGTTTCCTAAGCTGGGTTCTATTTTATTTCATATGTACATCACATGTTGCCCTCAGGACCCCAGCCTTGGGCAAAATTCCCAGGAAGATGCTGGCAGTGAGAAAGGCCTGGGCTCAACCAGGGTAGCCCTTGTTCCTGGGGACAATGTTCCTGGCCACCTCCTATCCTGGTGACAAGGTGCCCTGAGCACTGTCCGGCTGCTGATTCCTGTCCTGGAAACTATTCTGTAGCACAGGACCGTAGGCCCTGCATGAAGTCCAGGGTAGTAAGTAGAAGCCCAGGGAAAATGACTACAAAGATGCATGGGAATGGCAAAGACACCTTTCCCATGGACCTCTGAGGCTTGGAATTCTGGCCCTTCAGAGAGTTTGTAGCGTAACTCTTCAGTTAAAGAGACAAATGACACATTCCATTGGCTGGCGCTTATCAGCAACCCTGCGGAAGGATATCAGAGGAAACTGCCAGAAAAATGACGGTGTCATGGTTCAGTCACTGACTGAATGAAAAATACACAGAGGTGAACCAAGCCTGAACTTCTCCTGCCTGTCTTCCTTTTCCTTCTCCCCCTGCTGCTCCTAGACACCTGGAACCAAATCCAGAGCTGAGAGCAGACAGAAAGAGGCTCCGGGAATGCCCTTGTGGGGGTCCTCGGGGCCACCCTGGGAAGGTATGCATGAGCCCTGGATGCAGCTGAACCTCAGGAAGAATGCTGCACCCCCTTTGAAGATACCCAGGGATTCTCCCTAATTCAAGCCACCCTGATGATCACAGGGCCTCAGACTACTTGACTTACTTCTAACTTGACTTACTAACTACTTGACTTACTTGACTTTCCCAGACTACTTGACTTGCTTCTAACTTCTGGATCTGTGAGGTCTGCACAGTGTATCAGAAATGGCATCCCTGGTTTGACCACAGGTGAAGCCGGGTCCCAGAACCTGATCTCCCTCCCTCCCTCCCTCCCTCTCTCTCTCCCTCTCTCTCTCTCTCTTTTCTTTTTTTTTTTTTTTTTTTTTTTTTATAAGACAGCCAATCTGCGGTATTTTATTATAACAGCCTAACAAAAGCAGTCCACTAGGCCCTGGCTGGGGATTCATTCATGTTCCCACAATGGTACCTGGTTGTCTGCCCATTTCTGGGAGGTAAGCACCACTGAGTCAGGATACATCCCTGCACTGAAGGCTGTGAGGTTGGGGCCACATCTCTAAGGGGCTCTCTGTCTGCAGTCCTCACCCACAAGCAGTGCCTGGTTTATACAAGCCAGCTCGCCAGAAAAAAAAAGCAGACACTGGGTGCACATGTCCATTGTCCTCGTTCACATACCTCATTTGATTCATAACCCATGGGGCAAAAGAGGATTCATGAGCATTCTCAACCCCAAGACACAGGTAGTATCTTCTCACTGTGTTTCTGTGAACATGCATGTGGGAAAATGTCCGGAAGAATGCATACCTAAGTGCAACATTGGTCTCTCTGGGTGGTGAGATTATCTGCATGCGGAGTTATAATTATTATAATTCTTCAATTTATACCACTGAAGTAGAAATAAAATCATCCTTTGAACCTATTTCTCATGGCAGTGCAAATCTGGACCTTCTCCGCTGGGACTGAAGCTGTGAGCAAGGAAAGAAATACAACACCCGCATTTGTTGAACACCTGATAAGTACCAGGCACAGTACCAGGACGAAATCGCTCAGGTGCTGATATTGCTAGTGGAAAGGTAGCAACGTGCACAAGTTTCTCGAAGTAGTAAGAGGCAGAGTCCCTCTCAATATGTGCCCCCAAATCCATGCCCTTGCACTTGAATATACTCAGGGATCTGATGACAGTTGACTTAGGGGAAAAAAAAAAAAGCACATACAAAGGCAATGGTGTCACCAAATTGATATCACACGATACATACACTAAAGGGAATCCGTGGTCAGAATGAACATTACCCCATTTTTCTGAAAATTCCACCAAACACAATCCTCAGAAAACTAGAAACCACTCAAGGAAAAGAGGGTAGGTTGGTTTTCCAGACACAGGTACTCTGAATAGTGCCGAGAGTGACAGGCGCAGGCTTGGCAGCCAGAATAGAGAGACATGGGAACACGTATCAACACGGAGCCTCTCAAGCAGCACATCTGAGGACACCGGGGAGGGCCAGCACCCGGTGCCTCAGATCCAATCGGCCCTGTGAGCATGGCTGAAGCCAAGGAGAGTACGGTAATTGATTTTCACAATGATGATCTCTAGTCATCAAGAAAAGGTTACATTTTATGTTCAGAACCCTCTGTTTAAGAAAGCAGGGAAGCATGTAATCCATTTGAGAAAGATTTTCATTTCAAATAGTTAAAAATTCTTTGAAAAGATTTTTGGTGCTTAAAGGGATAAGTGACACTTATCTGGAAAATTCACTTATGTGGAACAACGTCTTTCCTAAAGATTCTAGATCAGTGAGGCGGCATGTTATATTTAGTTAGGCTTCTATCACTTCTCCTTTGTTGACATTCCCACTGTCTAATCTTCTTCGGCCTTTCAAACTTCCTAACTTCTAAGCATAATGGGGTTGTAAGTTTCTTGAGATGACAGATTGTGACACCCATTCTTGGATATTCTATGTCCCTGTGGTTCTTGGCTTTTTTCTTTTTCTTTTTCTTTTTCTTTTTCTTTTTCTTTTTCTTTTCTTTATTTCTTTTTTTTAAACTTTTTTTTAACATTTATTTATTTTTGAGACAGAGGGAGACAGAGCATGAACGGGGATGGGTCAGAGAGAGAGGGAGACAAAGAATCTGAAACAGGCTCCAGGCTCTGAGCAGTCAGCACAGAGCCCGACGCGGGGCTTGAACTCACATACCGCGAAATCGGGACCTGAGCCGAAGTCGGACGCTTAACCGACTGAGCCACCCAGGCGCCCCTCTTTTTTTTTTTTAAGACCATGGAACAGATGATAAACTGATAGTCACAGAAAATGATGGACTCCCAGAGTACCCATGAACTTTGACAAAGCCCTCCTGACATTTTGCAAAAAAACCCTTTTGGGTTCTGGTAAAAGTCCTAGAAGTCTGTTTGCTTGTTGTTGTTGTTGTTGTTGTTTTTCTAACAGCAACCTTATTTTTAAAAAGAGTCATTTCCATGGAGGCCTGTACTTTCCAGGTAACACTAGAGCTGGGAACACACAGGACCGTCCCTGCCTATCCTGCTGGCCTCCTTGCCCAACACCACGTCCCTCTGCATATCTTGCCCTGGAAAGAACTCATTGCTTTTTGGTGAATGTGCTGAGATCCTTCGTGCTTTCTCATATGCTATTCCCTTTCCCAGAGAAATCTCTTCCCAAGTCCACACCTTCTATGTCTAGTTTAAATGCTCTCTTTGAGTACTGCTGCTCTCAAGAACCTTCTCATTCTCTCAGCTGTTGGAGGACGGGTGTGGTCTTCTTTGTCTTTTTGCATATCAGGATGGAACTGTGAGAGGCTGCAAAGCTCGCTCTGGGCCACACCTGGGAGTCAGAGCCAGGATGAGAAATCCATCCCTGGTCCTCTCCCGACCTTGTTTCTTTCTGCGGCAGGGTGAACAACCATCACTGCAGCCCCCTCGTGGGCAGACACCCCTGTCCTCGACATTCTGTGTTTGGGAAGCCTATCTGTTGTCAGCCCTTGTGGCCCACGCAGAGGAGCAGGGACTAGCCTTACCTGGCGTGTTGAGCAGGCGGGACCTTCTGCAGTGGTAGGCTACCTCCTGCTCACAGTGCTCTGAGCCATCAATCATGGCTTCCAGCTGTTCCATGCTGCCACCATAATCCAAGGCCATGGTGTAGGGCTTCTCTGGGTCGGCGCCCCGCACCCGGGTCAGCTCTGTGTTGTTGTGCTGCACTGATGTCCAAATCTTGTCCTCTGTCCAGAAAACACAACCCAAGGAAGGAGACATCAGAAGGAAGGTCAAAAGGGGATCATGCTTATATACCTCAATAAAGCCAGAGGTGTGGGGAGGAGGTGGGGAAGAGATCACTCAAGCAATGTAATACTTGGCTCCACGTGGGGCAATCAATCACCACTACAGTGCTCTACCTGTGCAAAAAACAAACAAAAAAAATGACCAGAGGATTTCTGTTTCTCATAAAGCTCTGCCTTAATTTAATATGGGGGTTAATAGGGGCACCAGAGTGGCTCAGTCAGTTAAGCATCTGACTTTGGTTCAGGTCATAATCTTGAGGTTTGTGAGTTCGAGCCCCGCATCAGGCTCTGTGCTGACAGCTCAGAGCCTGGCACCTGCTTCGGATTCTGTGTCTCCCTCTCTCTCTGCCCCTCTCCTGCTTGCACTGTGTGTGTGTGTCTCTCTCTCTCTCTCTCAAAAATAAACATTTAAAAAATATGCGGGTTAATAATCACGGGAGCTAAACTTGTGGAACCCCTTATGCTAAGCACTTAATGCCCGTTATCTCATTTTAAAGTGACATTACCTAAATCAGAAGGAAGTTAGAAATGCCATGTTAGAAATGAAGGAAAAGTGAGAAGAATTGAACAGCTTACCCTCAAGCAAATGACCAAGCAAGAATAGGAACATAAGGTGTCTGGCCACACAAAAAAAAGCCCAGTAGCTTCCAGGTACTGACACACACTTCCCCACAAGACACACACTAGCATAGATAATTGTGTCACAGAAACACAAGTATCCCACTGAATGTTTGCTGCACATAGAAAGACCTATGTATAGAAGGTATCTGTAAAATACACCTGATTAACAAGGGTGAGGTTATGTGATCCATGCTGTTCATACAAGGTACTTAGATGAAGTTCCTTTTTGCTTTAATTCTCTATGCTACCTCTGGTTACCAAAAAAATATTTTAAGAGGTTTGCATAAAAATTCACATGCAGAGATGAGGACCTTTACAGCAGGTTTGGAGAATGTGTGTTACCTCCTATAGGTAAGAATGGATGGTGAGGAGAGAGCAGAGACATTTGAGTTTTAGAGCTTGAGAGATATGTATTTGAAACCTACCCCCACCAATGACAGGCTTGGACAAGTCACTTCACTCTTCTAGGGCTCAGTTTTATTATCAGTAGAAAAAAGAAAGAAGAAAGAAAGAAAGAAAGAAAGAAAGAAAGAAAGAAAGAAAGAAAGAAAGAAAGAGATACCAGCAGGAATTTAATACGGAATAGCAACCCAGCATATGAAGTCGCAAGGCATGGTCTGAGATCCATCAGACATTCTGTACTAATAACCTACACTAAAACGTTGACTGCAATGGGACATAGAATTTCATTCCAAACACGTTCACAAATAAAGCAAATGAGGAAATAGGAAGACTTAAAAAGCTTTTGTCATCCGAGAATCTTGCCCACATAATAACATCATTACTCTTCATAGATTCTCAGAGCTGAAAAAGAACTTACCATAGACATCATGTGGTTTCCTCCTACTTTGACCTCCTAGTTTTACAAAGGAGGAAATCAAGGTCTAGGAAGTAAAGAAATGACCCAGGGCATACCTATAGACAATAATGATAAGGGCTGATACTGAAAGTAACTATTATTAATTAGTACTACTAAGAAGCAGGATTGTGGCTGTTGGCATATTTAACTGGAAAGGAAAAACACAGGCCACCAAGACCCCCAATTTTAATACTTTTTCTACCATAATTCTGTGGGTGACTTGGATTAAGTAACTTTACTGCTCTGCTCTTCTGTTTCAATATATTAGAAGGAGGGACAGAAAGAAATTTGGTTTCCATTGTCTCTAAAGTATTTTCCAACTTCAAAAAAGGAAATAGTGCTTGCAGCCAAAAAATTAAACTCTGTTCAAACGTTCTAAATCATCTTCAGACTATTCCCTAAAACCAGCCCACTGATAACCACGTATCTCCAATGTTTCACACAGGCAGGATTACATGTTCTATAAATTCTCAAAAAAACATACTAGAATGAAGGTTATTAGATTCTGACTGAAAGTAAAGATAGGATGTTGATTCTAATTTGTAAAAATAATGTTACACAATTAACATGAAACTCAAAAAATGTTCATGCCAATATAAACAAACACTGATAATTACCAGAGAAAAGTGATTGTTCATTAATACAATATCGTGGACAGAGAAATAAAGACTGAGAGTTTTTAAATGTCCACGGTGCTCAGAAGAAGAAAAGAACCACCTGGTTTAATGTATAATAGATATTGTGTTACTTTTTCGTGTAAGGACATTTTACATACCTTATCCCTGGTACATATAACATTCCACCACGGTAAATACAGATAGATAGAGAGACAGAGAGACATAGACACAGGTACAGCTATGGATACAGACACAAACATACTCATAGAGATATAGATATATGAAGGCTTAGAGAGAGACAATAAACTTGTCCCCAGTCTCACTGTGTCATCTGATGCCAGAAGTGGTCCACACAGCATCATTAAATCCTACGAATTTAGATTTCCCTCCAAATACACACAGATTCTTATACCCATACATCCATTCATCTGATTATTCATGCATTCATTCATTGATTTGCTTATTCATTTACTCACTGACTCATTTTGCCAGAGTCACATTCTATCTTTAGCAAGATGGAAAAGGAAGATGTGTAGGAGAGACAACATTTCATCTTAAAGCCACTAATGTTGCCAACCCTGACTTCTGGAACCTGAGGGTGAATGGCAGTTCTAATAACTCAACTACTGGCACTTTTTGATATATGCAAATATACAGGAGATACAAAAGAACAATTAAGAGGTCCAAAGGGCCCCCTGTGATTTACCCAGACATCACAAGCCCTACAAATGCAGGATGAGTTATAAGAGGAGAGAGGATTATGTGAAACCTAGAGCTTCTTAGCTGGCTTTCCTTTCAAAGATGCCCTTTGTCCTCTGATTATTTGTTCCCCCTGGGAGTTAGAAGAAGAAAGATTGAAAAGAAGGAGGTAATTGGATACTATTTCTTCTTGCTTTCTGTTATTTTCCCCCCTCAGTTTCACTGATAGCAGGTGTAGATTAAGTCCTGCACTTTGACAAAATATTAAAGGCGAGGGTCAATGCCACTCATGAAAGTTAGCTTTGGTGCCTGATGCCCCTGATGTCTGGTCTAAGATGGGGATAGGCAGTTTTAGCTAAGGGGTGTCGATGTGAACTGTAGCTCTAAAGATTTTCAAACAAGAAAGATTCATTTGGAACTGTCTTCTAGGTGGGCGGAGATGGGAATCTACTCACAGACTCACAGGTGCTTTAACTGAAATTGAACCCATGAAGCTAAATGTTCAAGATGGTCAAATTGGTCACGGGCTGGTGGATATTAGTGGACGCAGACTGGGTTCTGGAGTTAGAAGATCTGGATTTGTGTACCAGGTTGACAGTTACTAGTTAAGCAGAATTGGTCAAATTATTACTTCTCTAAAGTCCAGTTTCCTCATCAGTAGCATCTGGAGAGCAGAAATGAACGCCAACTGTACCACGTGGTTGTAAAGTGAGGGGATTTGTGTGAGAAGGTCCATTAGTGCCTGAATTATCAAGCATCCCACAGAAATCTGTACGTGCCTGTTATATAAAGGATATATCAGCTCTGTCCACAAGGATCCCACACAGCAGATGCTGTTATTATTAACAATAGCATCAAGGAGGAAACGGCCTCTGGTGGCTGTCACAGTAGTTCTTACCGTGTTCTGTAGTTCACCAGTAGTTCTGGGTTCTTTCCCAGAACATAAAGTAGGACACATGAGACACTGAAGGAGAGGGTAGGGGGCAAACTGAGACTAGCCCTCTCTTTGCAGATCCTTGGGGAAACCACGCCAGTTTCAAGAGACCTGGACTAGGAAATGCTCCTTTCTCGAAGTTCTGTGAACTTGAACTCCCACACAAGGAAACCAATGGAGGTTTCCCTACAATGCAAGAAGGACCAGTTACACTCAGGGACAGAGAAATATATACTCTAAATGCTGTGATTGGGAGAACATCATGAATGCCTCCAGGCTCCAGGCATCATCCTCTACTGGTCTGCCTCCAGACCAGACCCTATACCACAGGCCATGTATTCTGGTCTCTAGAGATGCATCTAGGGCTTCAAGGTGCCACAAGATAGCAGCATGGCTTTCGACACCTGCCTGTCTGATTAGAAACTACGTTCCGCTAAATGTCAGCACTGAGGCTTTGGGCAGGTTGTTAACCTCGGAAATGTCCACACTGGAAAATGGGATACCAATATCAGTCATTTTATCCATGATCATATCCCAGTGATTTGGCATCACGTTTTACTTGAACACAAGGCAGGCTGAATGGCATGCAGAAGAGTAAAGAATGTCTACATTAGAACTCTTCTGTAACATGAGGTCCAGCACCCAGACTGCATTCTTTAAAGAATTGAGGGTGGGAGCTCACCTGGAAAATAAGGTTAGCAGGTGGGATGGACTGCATTTTCTTGTCATATAGCTGCTGCTAATAACTTATTACCATCTTGTTCAATCATCTTTTCCCTTTGGAATCGTCTCCTGTGTCTCTGTATTTATTTGGTGTCCCTTGCATTTCCTGGACTGTAGTCAATGGAATTTGTTGGTCCTGGAAAACACTGCCCTTGATACCACTTTCGGCTACCCAATCCAGTCTCTATTATTTCTTCCTGTTGACTACCATTCAGTCCCACGATAAGCAGCATAGCCCCATCTTTCTAACTTGCTCAAAGGAATACATGTATTAAGTTATCCAAGATAAATTCTCCGCTTCAGGGAAAACTGCATTTAGAGATTTTTGAGCTGGCAGGAATCTAGCCCATTCATTAAGGATCGTAACAGCAATTATATATTTGCTTTTTTTAATGTGATACTTAGTTTGCAAATATTTTCCATTTCATAGATCCCCTTTTTATTTAGTTGCACACTTCCTTTGCTGTGCAGAAACTTTTTAGTTTGA